ACACACACACACACACACACACACACACACACACACACACACACACACACATACACACACACATCTTTTGATCTTCTGAAGGAGTTGGACTGTCATTCAAGTGCAGATATTTCAGCAGCAGCTATTCGCATGACCACCGGAAAAATTGCACTACCACCTGCGACCTGCGCTTAGAATACCTTTAACAACACCCCTCGAAATAAAACCTCTTCAGAGAACTTCCTCGCGGAACGCAAGATTCAGGGCGGGGGTCGCATTGCTTCGCGACGGTGCACTTCGCTGTCTTCTTTTTCGTCTCCTTCTTCTTCTCCTTCTTTCCTTTTTCTTTTTCCTTTTTTAGCCAAGTCATCAACAATCTTTCGTTGTCCGTTCTTTTCCTTCCTGTGATGTCTTTGGAGCAGCAGCGGCTTTGGGCTCCCAAGTCCAACCGGTGTCCATGTTGATAAGCTCTCCCCAGAAAATGTTTCTCCCTCTTGCTTGACGCACAGGGGGGTGTGGTCACAAGCCACAAGATATCATCAAGATCTCTTTCTTCTTTTTGTTGTTTCTTTTGAAGAATTGGTTTTTAGTCCTTGCCGATTGTTGTTTTTTGGCGGGGTTTTTTCGTTCATCAAACACTGAAGAGGGTTTCTTCCGGTGTCTCTAGTGGAAATAAAGTCTGGCTGAGTTCCATGATCAGTTAGACAGCTCAAGTTGCCACCATATTAGCCCGTGTTCAAGACTTCAGAATGGTTAACCAAACGTTCTCCAGAGTTGGCAAGCTTCCTCTGCATAAGGTAAGCTTTGACCTATTATTGTGCATGATTTATCTTTGATCGATTCCCGTGTCTGTGCATAAGGTAAGCTTTGACCTATTATTGTTCATGATTTTTCTTTGATCCAAATTCCTGTGTCTGTGATTTTAATAAGGTAAGATTTGGCCTATTCTTGTGCATAATTTATCTTTGATCAATTCCTGTGTCTGTGCATACGATAAGCTTTTATCTTTTCCTGTGCATAAGATACATTTTGATAATTAAATTCCTGTAACTGAGAACAGTTTCTCAATATTTTTTTTTCCCTAAAATCTGAAACCCTTACCCCAGGATCTCCAAGAAATAACAAATCTTCAAACATTTAAAACGATTACTCAAGACTCATTTAATTTGTTTAATTCTTAGTTATAGTGTGCTAATAAGTGCTGATACATTTTGTTTTTACTGCTGTCCTTACGCGCATATGATTAAGATATGGTTGAGATGGTTCTTCTTTACAATGTGGTTGAACTGATTTTTTTCTTGTTACTATGAAATATTTTATCCCGTGAGAATGAATTATTACTTTTCAGAGATTATATGATTAATGTAAAGCGCTCAGAGATTATACTCGTATGGGATAGAGCGCTATATGAATGAAACTTATCATTATCATAAATTATGAACATTCGAAACTTTTATGAACATAAATATGAATTTTCTTATATTAAAAAAGAGACATTTTTCAAACTACCCTACCAAAGGAAATTATTTCTTTCCCCTTTCCTAACTCATCCCAGTAATAAAAATCTACGTTGTTTAACTCACGCAAGGCGTTAGGCTATATAATAATATACTTTAAAAAAAAAAAATGGAAACTTTGCCTTAGATTAGAACGTAAAACGTTTCTGAAATGTTACTGATGTGTTATATTTTATATTTCATGCTGGGAAGCCTCTTGTTATTATAAGAATTTGTAGTCCCCCCCCCCCTCCTATGCTTTATGTGGTGGGATAAATGACCTTAAACAAAGATAATAATATCTTCCTGCCTACTTATAACTGAGACTTTGATTTGATACCAGGCTTATATTATTATTATCATTCAACTCGCACGAAATACGCTTTGAATTTTACACTTTCAAATATCGCTGAATTATATTAATTTGGTCAAAATATAATGAATATTGAAAGTAGGCCTACGTAAAGACCCCATATAATACATTATTATACTTTCTTATTAGCACCAGCATCATTTAGCTCTATTTGATTTTAGGATTGCTTATTTTGGGCACGTACATTGTATAGCCAAAATAAGCTAACCACCCCCCTCCCCCAAACCTTATTGGGGCTACCCTTTGTTGACGACAGCAAAAGATCTCTACATATTTAAAGAGTTAATTTAGCTTTCCCAGATCAACGTCTTTGTCGTTTTGTTCAGTGTAGATCTAGTTTTGTCTCTTGTACTGGTGTATACATTTTATTATAGACTATAATAAATTTTCGGAAAAAATGTCAGTCTCTTGTTTTGGCTCAGAGAGTACTGGAAAAACTATAGTAACTTTGGGTTAGGGGTAGGGGTAGGGGTGGGGGTAGGGGTAGGGTTAAAGTAGTATGGGTGTAGGTTTAGGATTATAGTTATCAGTGGCGTCCAAGGGAAACTAGAAAATACAGTCACCCGACCGTCTTGTTAAAGCCTTGCTCTACCCACTCACGCAGCATACAATTTTAAAGTTGAATAAATTCTGCATCGCCTGACTCATAAATATTTCATCTGTGTTAAGAATCGCCCGAGGTATGGTTACTCAAAATTGACCTTAAAAATCGGGCTTGACAAAACTGTGCGAAATTCAAGAAACGTAATAGCTAGTGTGTTCGAGCCGTTATTTAGGTGTATCGGCATTGGTGGCGTGTACATGTATTGAGAATCAAATGAATCGATTATAATAAGTCTCTGCAATGAACAGCATCTTCTGATGGCATTTTAAAACAGACTTGAAAACAGCAGTCATAAATACCACACAAAATTAGACTTAACATTACATGTGCTCATTAGCATTTTGCTTTTGTTTAAGGGCCATTGACACGAAACCTTTTTTACTCATGGACTGACGTGTTAGTTAAGATTTTGGACATTATCATCTGTCAGTGAAGCACAGAGGCCAGGAAACTGCTATGGCTTGAAGAGGTCTGGGGTGGAATGAACAAAACTGTCCTCGAGAAAATCATCGGATGGCTAGGTTTAGATGGCTACGTCGCGCAATTACCATATCCGTACGCCGTGGGGTCATTTTGTACCCCCGGGGCTGTATTCTTCACATTTTAGAATACTTCTAGTACGAAGATCTCTTTGAAACTTTCAGTATTTCTCAAAAATCGTTTTGACAGACTGCTATGCAAAGCGTATGGATCAGATTAACGAGTAAATTTCCTCTTTGGAAAATGGTGGCACAGAGTCCCACGTCGTATGGATACGGTAGTAAAACACGACGTACTGATATGGTTAAGTGCTAGAACGTCAAGCCTTACCCTTATTTTCGCTATGGTGTCATTTAAGTAGGCATCTCCATGCATGTCAAATCACTTTTTCATAGGCTCAGTGCCACTAGACAATTCTTGGAAAACCAAATCATACCAACGTTGGAGTGGTCACCAATTAAAGGTCGCGATATGAATCCTACAGGTATGTGAAGCTCCATGAAACAGCAGCTGAAGAAAATGGACTTGTTTCCCAATCCATAACCTTTGTTTGCAACTCTCAGTGGTATCTGGGATGAAATGACAGATGTTCAAAAATTAATAGTCTATGCCCAAATGGTTCGTGCTCTACACGAAACCAATGGCTCCTAAACCAAATAATAATGAGAACATTTAACCCGTCCAGCCCCATGCGCGTATATTTTCAGGAGCGCTTGTACCTCTCTACGTCCCAAGAGCGTATATTCTCAGTTTCGGGGGGTACGGAATTTGCGCATTTTTCGAAACTAGTGAATCTAATTAAACTATAATTTTCATAATATTATTTGTTCAGTTACCTTGAAACATTGTAACATTGTTATATGTTGTTCTCTAAACCTCATTACAGAGACACTACATCACTTTTTAGAGTGCACGCCTCTTTTTCTGAAATAGTGCTGTATTGGCTGAGATTGGGGTTAGGAAGTGCACAAAAATGGCTGGGCTGGAAGGGTAAATATTAAGTTCAAGTGTTAAGTTCAAGCATGCTATTGCGTGATATTTGTGATTGCTCTCTTTTCCAATCTGTTTGAGACGATCGAAAATTTATAATATTATTGTTTATTGCTGAGACAAAGTTCTCCATTCTGATTTGATTTTTCTGTTCAAGTCCATTTTATCAATATTAATTCTCCTCAATACATGCGAAGAAAATGTTGCTTAAATTGTTTGATTTCGAATAATTTTGTCTAGCCTGATTTTTAAGGTCAATTTTGAGTGACCATATCTCGAGCATGATAAGTTATGCCAAGCTTTGAGATTATGCCAATACTTCTATATGCAAATAAATAAATAAATGAATAAAGAAAGAAATGAATGAATTAAAAAAAACCCAAATACATAAATAAATAAATAAATAAATGAAGGAATGAATGGATGAATGAATTAAGAAAAAAGACCCAATAGAATTATATTAAATAATTTTTTAAAATACTTTTAAAATGACGAGCACCTGATTCCACCGTGTCGTGACTCATTTTCATTCTCTCTAAAAAAAATACAATACATTTGGTCTTCTCTTGATACTCAAAACAGAAAGATGGATGGTGGGGAACAGTGATGCAACATATTTGATGCTTTTTTTTCTTTGGGCGCGAAGCCGTACGTGAAAGTTATTTTTTTAAAATCTAAGGGTCGTCATAATAATAATAATAACAACAACAACAACAACAAAAACAACGACAATAATAATAATAATAATAATAATAATAATAATAATAATAATAATAATAATAACAACAATAATAATAATAATAATAATAATATTTTTTATAATAATAATGATAATAATAATAATAATAATAATAATAATAATAATAATAATAATAATAATAAAAGTAATGATGATGATGATGATGATGATGATGATGATGATGATGATGATGATGATGATGATGATAATGATGATGATGATGATGATGATGATGATGATGATGATGATGATGATGTATGTAATATGATAAATATATGGGTAATGGCATCAACACCATCATCAGCGACAACAATGTCTACTGGTCTTGTTATATCTACTTGTCTCGCTATCTACTCGTCTTGTTATATATCTACTCATTTTCCTTTATCTATTCGTCTAGCTATATCAACTTATCTTGCTATACATCTACTCTTCTCGCTATATTCTACTCTTCTCGCTCTATCTACTCGTCCTGCTCTATCTACTCGTCTTGCTAAATGTCTCGCTCTGCTCGTCTCTCTAAATCTACTCGCCTCGCTAAATCTCCTCGTCTCGCTCTATTCCACAGGCCCTGGTGTGTTCCAGAAAAGGCATGATGCCGTCTATGACGTCACTAGTGACCAGCACAGTCTTCCTCTCCCTCTGTTTCTCTGCGGTGTCCGTCTCGGCTCTGCCAGTCTCGCCACAAGAACACACAGACCAGGGCCTGCTCTCAGCGTCTCTGCAACAGACAGAGGGCGAGGAGGGGCCTCTCCGAGGAGTTGTCGCGTCTGTAAACAAAACACAAGCGTTGCAAGAAGATTCCGGAGAAATGGAGGCGACGAGAGATGAGAAACTGATTGAGGAAGACAACGCTGTTGACGAGAACGATGCCAAGTTTCTCAAAAGTGAGACTTCTTCTGACGCCGCGAAGTCCACAAAACTTTCGAAATCTGTCGAGCTTACGTCTGTAGTAGACAGCGATGAGCTGAAGAAACCTAGCTCTGAAAACTCGGTAAACACGGACAAGAAAGCCTCATCGAGTCCAAAAGACAAAGATGGTGATGACGTCGATGTTGCTGAAAGCCTGCAAGCTCAAGACAAAGATGCTGTCTCAAAGAATAAAGAGACAGCAGACAGCGCCACCACTGACAACTACAACCAGTACTATTATTACTATTACGACATCGACGACGCTAACCTTATTGGTGAACTAAGCGGCCATTACGCTTACTATTTTGACGTAAACAGCAACTCTGTGAAAAAAGTCGCTCTTGTAGGAGCAACGAAGAACAATGGCAAGATGGCGGAGGAGAAGTCAGCGGATATGACGTCAGTTGTTTCGAAGACGAACGAAGATCTCGCTGTGCCAGTCATAGACAGAGAGACGCTGGGGAAGCTGTCCAAAGAGAAGGTGTTGAACGAAGAAAAGTCGCAGACGGACAACAACGTCGAGGATGGGTATGAAAAACCGGTGGACGATTTTATCAAAGACAAAGACATTTTGGGGAATCCTGAACTCGTCAAAGATGACGAAAAGATGAAAGTGAACGAGATCGATGATAAAAGTGATAAAACATTGGGGTCAAATTTTCACGCTACCGGGGGCAAAACTAACGTGGTCGGAGCAGACAAAACTAACGTGGTAGGAGCAGACAAAACGAGTGACGTAGTCAGCACAGATGTAGACAAACAAGAAGCAGAGTCTGTGGAGGAGGACAAAATGGAACAAAGTAGCCGTGTCGACATCCCACGCGCAGAAAACATCATCAACACACCTGACAGCCCAACGACAGGGACCATCACAGATCTGAATATAACACTAGAGCTTGAACGGATGGAGAATTCTGTTTTAAACAACATCAACAACAATATTGATGACGCCTCGGAGGAGAGCATGAGTGAACCTGAGAGGAAAGAGAAAGAAGAAATGTCGTTCTCGTTGAAGACACTGGACATGGACGACAGGGACAGAGAAAATCTCATCAGCACGTACGCCAGGGCTGTGGGCGACCTGTCCCCGAGTGGCAAAAACAAATCAGAAGCTGACAACAAATCTCCAGAAGAAAACGAACTTCCAGAGCCATCCGAAGAACCGGACGCAGACGTGGACGTGGACGAGAATGTGGACGAGAATGAGGACGAGAATGTGAGCGTGAGCAGATCAGACGCCAACAAGACGGAGGCCGCGCCAGGGAATTGCTCCTCGTGTGTCTCCCCCGCCACCTCCCCCAACCCGGAGACAATTCCCTCTGGGGATGTAGACGATGACGACGAGGAGGAGGAGGAGACTGAGCCGCAGAGAGATGAGAAGATTGTCTCTTCTAAACAACAACTCCCCGAGCAAAAAGTAAACGCGACCATTATATCTACCAGCCTGAACGTTTCCTCCACTGCCACCACAGCGCCCTCGGCGGTATTGGACAAAAACCAAAGTTCTTCACACATGGAAGCGGTCCCCATTGTCTCCGGCAGGGCCCAGGAACAAGTTCAAATTAACGACTCTTCTAGAAACGAATCCCAAAACCAGACAGAAGAGAAAGTTCCTTCTGTCCCACTAGAGCTTGAGAACAGTGAGGAAGAAGCTTTAGATAACATTAATCAAAATACAACAAACCTAAATGGAAGTTTAGTTCACAGTTCGAATTCCTCGGCAGGGTCATCATCAGTGATTACTACTGAAAATACTCCTCCTGAGAATATTTCAAATATCGATAATGTGGTCCTTGATAAACAGATCCCAGGAGAGCTGAGAAAAGAAGAAAAGAAGAATGCGAAGACATTAGCCGAAGCAGTCATACCACCTCTAACTGCCTTGACAAATTCGACTGTCAGCCAAAACGACTCGGATGTCGGTATCAACGAAGACACCCCAACCAGCCAGACTGGACACATCACAAACAGCTCGCCAGAAACTGTGAACAATACCGACCTGCTTGCTGAAGTAAAGTCCGGGAATTCCGCCACGAACGAAACAGTAACAATGTCTGCAGAGAAAGCGCCCACAAATCTAACGACCGTTTCCCAGAACGATAGTTCAGGTACGAGCTCAAAGAATCTCTCTGACGCCGAAGTGGGAACGTTCCCTTCCAAAAATCAGTCTGTTGTGCCAGACAAAGGCCAAGAGGCTTTGGAAGGATTTGAGAAGAACAGAACTCTTGATGACGTGAAGGAAACAATCTCGGAATTCCCCCTAAAAAACGACACGTTTAGATCTACCCCTCAAGCTGCCCTGTTAGTGAATGCCACACAGGTGGAGGAAGCGGTGCCCGACGTCCAATTCAGCCAAGAAACAGGAAAATCTAAAAATATTTCTCAAACCGTGCTGCAGCCTCTCACAATTACCTTCAACGTCAGCAGTCTTCACCTCACACAAAACAAGACAGATATCACAGCCGCAGAGTTATCACCTACACAAAATTTTGCTCCAGATCTTACGAACAAAAAGAATGGAAATTCAACGGTGCACATTCCGTTTCAGGACTTGGAGACACGAAACAATTCAGTTTCACTGAAAACAGCAACCAACGAAACAAATAATTTGTCAGGACAAGGTTTGCAAGCGGATACTTCACAAACAACAACCACAGAAACCGTGAGTCAGAAATCAGACAACATCTCAGCTTCAAGGGAAGACGGAGAAGAACAGAATAAAACTACAACTCGCGTGCCGGGTGTGGCGAAAGAGGAAGAAATAGTTCAAATAGCAGAAAGTGTCAGAGTTCAGGAGACCGTCGATATGACGAATATGACGAAATTGTCTAGCGCAAAGCCACCTTTGCACCTGACGGCGGAGGGGATGAAGGGTCCTTCTAGGAGTAGCGGTGGAGATAATGGCGTCAACACCATTATCAGCGACAAAAGCAATAGCAACACCACCACCAACAACAACAACAACAACAGCAACCACAGTGTCCAGAGCAACAACAACAGCAACAACAGCAACAATAACAGTAACACAATGAGCAACAGCAGTAGCACCAGCAGCAAAGACAACAGTACTAGTAACAACAACAACAACAACAACAACAACAACAACAACAACAGTACCAACAGCATTAACGCCAATAACACCAGCACCACTACCAACAGCAGCCTCAGCCAAAACACCACTACCACCTCCACCGCCACCACCACAACCATCGCCAGCACCATCAACAACACGAGCACCAACACCAGCGACAACACCACCAGCAGTAGCAGCACTAGCACCACCAACAGCACGGAGAACGGGACATCAGACACGGCTGACGTCACATCCGATGACGTCACATCCGAAGACGCCACTTCCTCCGGAAGCACGGAGCGACCCAAAATCACTCAGCGGGTAGCCAGGGATGTAGGAGATTTCAGCGGCACTGAGGAGAAAGAAGGTGATTTCACCCCCCCCCCCCTGAATAGTCTAATTCTGTTTGTTTCTCAAGGATTTGGTTTAAAAAAAAATTATTGTTCTTGTTTTAGTCTTAGTGAGGTTTTACGTCTCTCGCAACTGCATAAGGTCACATGACCCCAGAAATAGCAGTTAACAAGAGAGTGACAAACATACGAAACAAGTAGAAGAAAATGACGATAGTAAGGATGAGGAAAGAAAAAGCAGCAGTTCCCCCTATGTTTTTCCGGTGCAGGATGTACATGACATTGATAAATCAGCACATTTACAATAATTCTACTGTGCATAAGAAAATGTATTGTTAATATACCTCCTTTGGGAACGGCCTAAAGACACTTCAGTCAGTAGCACTGACCTGGTTATGGGGTGCTTGTGAGTGTGTGTGTGTGTGGGGGGGGGGGGGGGAGGCTTGGAAATGTGAGTGTGAGTGTGAGTATGCACATGTACGCCGTGTATGAGTTTTTATGTTTGCATGTGTGGGTGTATAAACTTATATGTATGAGTTTTATGTGAGTGCTTGTGTACGTGAGTCTGTGTGTGTGTGCGTGTGTGTATGTGTGTGCGTGTGTGTATGTGTGTGCGTGTACTTGTGTGTGTGTGTATGTGCATGTGTGTGTATGTGTGTGCGTATGTGTGTGTATTATATGTGTCAGTATGTGTGTATGTATCCGTGTGTCTTTGTGTATGTGAGCACGTAAGGGGGGGGGGGGTTGTCTTTAACAAGGTCACAAAAGACCTATGTCCACATGTTCTACATTAGTTCTTATACGGGGGTGCCCATTGGGGGATCGGGTCTGGTCGGGTCGGTTTGCTAGCCAGATTGAGAGTGCAAAACGACTATCGTAGCACTCATCGCCTTAAAAAAAACGCGCTTGTTTTCAGACGACGAGTGGGGCGATCGTCCCCGAACCGACCCGACCTGATCCCATTCGCAATGGGCACCCCGTATTATGGCAAGGGCAATCTGATA